CGATCGGGTGAACTGAAGATGGTGCGTGACTTGGGTGAAGAAAATCAAGATGATTTTCAACAATTTTAGGCGATTTTGGGTTCAGCAAATTTGGGCGATTTTGGGCAATTTTAGGCATAGGTTTTCTGGTGAAGATGGTGAAGATGGCGAAGAAAGAAAGACCGAAGGTTGGTGAAGAAGAGTGAAGAAGAGGAACAACTGGATGGGTGAACTGGTGAGCCGGTGAGCCGGTGAACTGGTGAAGACGGTGAAGACGGTGAAGAAGGGAAGGGCAGGGGCTTCCTTCCGTGGTTCAGGGAAAATGACCGTGAGGAAGAAAGAAAAGGAAATAAAAGAAAGACTTAAAAAAAAAAATGGTCCCGCTTTTTTTAAAAAATTAATAAACAATAAGTTAGATTTTGACCATTAGTAATTAACGGGTCAAAATTAACGGAAGTGTGGATGGCATCCCATTAGGGATGACATTGAACAAAAAATGTGTAGTAGAGGGACGACATTTATGCTGTTGAGGAAAGTAGAGGGATGACATCGAACATTTCCTTAGTAGAGGGACGGTAACGAACAATTTCACAAAGTACGAGGACTACAGTTGGCTTTAACCCGGTTTCCTTTTTTTTTTTGGGAGAAGTGTGTTAGGTTTAATTGTCAAGAAATAATTGATAATTATATTTATTAATTGATATTTTATAAAATAATTGATATATTTATATTTAAAAATTTAAAATTATTGTATTTGGAGATTTTTTTAAAAGAAAAGTATAATTTTATTAAAAAAATATCTTATTTTATAATCTAAATTAATTTAAATTATAAATCAGGAACTATTTAATGAGGAAAAGATCCATGACATCAATGGACTGAACCCATCAACAACCAATATTTTATAATTTAAATTAGTTTATATTTTAAAATACTTTTTTGTTAAAAAAATTAAAGCAGAAACAGTTTAAGCTATATTCTTGTCATATATACTAAATAAAAAATAAAAGAAAAAAGATTAATATATTCTTTGGTTTGACATATCTTTTTATATCTGTCTAGTTTGTTATTAAAATATAATATAACTACAACTAATTTATTTCATTCTTGCACATTATATGCATGATTACGTATTTAAATTTGTATGCCTTTAATTTTATATTAAAAAATAATGATAATCTAATGAGAATGTTGTGCAATGAGTTAAATTAAAAAATCTATCAATAAGTGTCCAAAATAAAACACTAAAAAGATCCTATAAGACTAATACAAAGAGCAAATATTTATGATATGTATAAATAATTAAGTGCTGAGAGCCTCAAAGCATCAGCAGTTGTCATAAGGTATCAATAAAGTTACCTAAACGCATAGAAATTTGACTCTTAGGCTTTTCTATGGCTTGTAGTAACCACATATACCGTACCACCCTTTTCTAGCATGCAATCGTGATTTTTTGGGGCAAAAGATTATCCAAGAACCCTAACCCTTAACCATGTTGTCAAGAACTAAAGAAAGTCATACAATTGAACCAAACTTATCTAACTTCAAATCACTACAAGAATTCACTGTGTCACTGACGAGCAATCATGTCGGTAAAAGAGGGAATTTGGTCGGTGAAACAAAATGCCCACTTGGATCACGTCGGTAATGGGTTTATCGGTGAAGCCGGGCTCGATAATTCAATCACTGACGTAGATAAAAATCAAGTCGGTAAACGCATCATCATTACCGACAAGAAACATCTTGTAAACAGGGAGCCGGAATAGTTCACCGGAAAACATCTCTGGTTCCCACGTCAGTAAATTACCGACAAGCATAACGTCTACACATATAGAGGGGCCTCAAGCTCTGCGCTAATCACCGATGAACACCACGTCTGACAATGCAGGAAAATGCTTCACAATTTGGGCCATGTTAGTAAATCACCGACAAAAACCACGTCTGAACTACACAGAGATCTTCGCTGCAGGTTGAAAATCATCTCCAAAATTTTAGGTGCCAATTTTCCAAGTGCTATTTTTTTTTTCCTAGTTATCGATGAGAAACACGTTGGTAATTAACCCTGAACAAATAAAAAAAAATTTCTTGAATTCAGCTCATATTGAAATTAATATATATTTTTATTGTTTAACTAAATTAATTTGCAATTAAACATTAAATAATTCAAAATATTTAATATTATAAAAAATAAATATAATATGAAAATTTTATAATGTAATCAAAAAATTATTTATTTATTTATTTAAATTAAAGATTAAAACATAACT